TAAATAAAAGCTTGAATACATGCATACAGTTTGTGTTACTGTATGACAATTAGGAGTGAAGTTCACTGTGATGCTAGGGGGCGCTAACGACAATCTTGGCTAGGGCACCAAATTGGTCAGGACCGGCCCTGGTCACAGACCTTCACAGGTACAGGTGGGGTCATCGGGGGTTTGTCGTCAGTCTGGTGACTCAGTGACAGAAACAGGTGAACTGTCTCAGGTGCAGCTGTCCAGGTCTCTGCTGGTCGGACGCAGAGACACGAGGCCAGACTGCCTGTCGGCTGAGGACAGCACCACCAGCAGGTAGACGCACACCTGTCTGTCCTTCCTCTTCATGTCCAGCATCACAGCATCTGTGGGTCTCAGCTTGTGTTCTTCCTCCAGCAGGACGCAGCGGGTGGACGCTGATGATGACGTCATTGATGAGGTCAGCCGACTTCCCGACTCTCTGGGTTAGTACCGTCAGTTAGGGTTAGCTTGTGTGACATCATAAGTGTGACATCATCCTCATATGGCTCCGCCCTCCTGATGACAAACAGTGAGCTCTGATTGGTTGCCCCCACAGCTGTTGCCCAGCCGCGGTCTGACGTCATCGAACGTCTGACCGAGAAAAGCAGGAAGGAATGCCAGGAAGCTGTGAAGCAGCTAGAGGCACACCTGAGCCATCTGTCCCAGGTAGGCACACCTGATCCGCCCCTCACACCCCTGACAGGTGTTTGCTGGCGCTCTTCAGCCCTGTGGCTTCACAGGCTGGTCTCAGCTACCTGCTGTTCTTTCAGGAGTGTGAGACTGAGGTGAGGACCGTCAGTCAGCAGCTGCTGTCCTCTCTGCAGGACGCAGACCACAGATTGGACACCCTGAAGTTCCGGATGGATCAGATGGAACACCTGGACTGCGTCACTGTGCAGGTACATGAACACCTGGAAGCTCATGTGAAGCGACCAAAAGCTTCCAGCTTCAGACGATGTTTGTGGTTAAAACATCCGACTGATCCGGCGGATCAGCAGCTGGTCTCTGGTTCTGTTACGCTGCAGGGAGACGTTTAGTCATCTGTTTCCTGTCAACACCGGCCATGTTTGCAGCTCATTTCCTGGACCAGCACCAGTACATTAGTTTCCTTCTTTTTCTTGAATGTAACGTGTCAACTAGCTGGTTCTGCCCAGAGGACGGATCAAGTGTCGGTCTGTGACTTTAAAACCACCAGGAAGCTGCTCAGACTCTGGTTGAAGATGTTCTCAGGTGTGTGACTGATGAAGTGTGTTTGTGTGCAGGAGCTGAGCGTCCTCTGGGAGGAGGTGCAGCAGGAGGTGGAGCTGAAGAAGACCAGCATTTGTGAGCTGAACCTCAAACTGAGCCAGTGTGAACGACGACGAGGCGTCCAGGTTCAGCAGAAACGTCTCATTAATGTATCAGGAACCCATCAGAACCGCTGCTGCAGGACTTGTGCTTTAGCATCTGAGTACTTCTGAGCATTCTGTGTCCTTCAGGAGCAGAGCCAGCAGCCTGAGGGTCAACATTCACTTCACATGAGCGTGAGCTCTGGAACCACCTCAAGAAACTTCACAAGCACAGAAATGTTTCTTGTGTTTTCTTGTAGGTCGGAGCTGTTTTTAGGAGGTTCTGCCACCTGCTGGAGAACGTTGTTCTGCCTCCAGCTGAGCTTCTCACACTGATCCACGCTAAGGCTACGGTAAACAGTCATTCATCTGGTTTACGCTTTAGGTTCATTCTGTGGTTTCAAACCTGAAGGTTCTGCTTCTCTGTGTCTCAGATGCTGAATCAGTCTCTGCTGGCAAACCGTCGCAGCGCCGCCCGACTGCTGCTGCTCCTCCAGGAGGAGAACCTGCAGCACCAGTCACTCCTCCGACGGCACTGGGAGGACCTTCAGAACCGCTGGAAGAGGACCAGAGTGACCCAGCTCATAGAGCAGTTCAGGTGGGTGGAGAACCAGATGGTAGACAGGTCCGAACAGA